TCAGGAAGATGAGTCTTCTTGACTCCAGGCTTGGCACTCTGTACCATCTAGCTGCCCCTTGAATACCTTTATAAGGTCTCTAAAATCTTCCTTTGTTCAGTAAATATCCTGCAGGGCCTTAAGGCATATCTGTGAATCAGAATCCTTCCTATCCAGGCCATTGGGTGCAGAAGGCATGGTCTCTCTCATGGTACAGTGGAAAGAATACTGAATTTGAACCAACCAATCCATCTGTCAACAAGAAGGCACAACAAGAAGGCACTGGGGGGCAGGGTGGTACAAGTACAAAGAATGAAATAATCTGTACTCTCAAAGAGCTTTTGGTCCAACAGAGCTTCAAATCTGCCACTTACTATCTATGTGATTTTGGACAAGTCACTTAAAATCTCTGGGGCTCAGTTTCTCCATCTGTAAAATGAAGGGAGGGGTTTGGACCCAATGACCTTTGAGATCCCTTCCAGTTCTGGATCTATGACCCTGTGGTACTTTGAGCCTAGGATGGGCTCAACTCACATTTGTTCAAAGACTTTCTAGGTTTAGATGTTTCTCCAAAGTATTATTCTCTTCCTCTCACCATCACTACCGTCTGTGCCATGAGGACGGCCCCCTAGGATATAAATAAATTTTTTTAGTGAAAATACTAGTTCTTGTATGTACAAGCAAGTGTTTTTCTTCAAATAGATATCGGTGGTGTCAAATTGAAATAGAAACCATATTCAAGGATCCCTATGGGCTACACATTAACTTAGAAAACAACATACTAACATTATCTAGGTTATATTGTATTATCATTATTATTTTTTTAAATATTTCCCAATTACATTTTATCTGGTTCTGGGAATACCACAGAATACACTCATGTTTGACACCTTTGGGCTGTATCTTCAGGGCCCCCAGCACCCCCAGGCATTAAATGACCCCACCTCGCCCCAGTAGAATACATATGTATTCCAGGAATGCCATCGTTGCCCAGAATATGTTAGGCACTACTTTTGAAAATTTTTATCTGTTCAGGCCAATTATAACTCATTCAGGGAAACTAGTCTTGTACTTTACAACTAGTCTTAAGATCATAGATTTGGAGTTGCCAAGGACCTTACAAGTCATTGAGCCCAGCCCTCTTCATTTCACAGATGAAGAAACAGTTTAGTGACTTGCCCAAGGCCACACAGTTAGTAAGTGGCAGAATCAGGATTTAAACCTAAGTCCTCTTGAATCCAAATCTGGTATTCTTTTCATTGCCCCAAGAACCAGGTACTATTTTCCCCAGGCTGACTGCTGGAGTTATTCAAGACTGGGTTCCAATGATGGAGCTATTAAAAAAAACCAAATCCACCATTAAAAGGCAAAGATCCCTGTCCTTGAGTAATGTAGTCTATTCCCAAGGAGGAGTTCTAGATGATGATGATGGTGATAATGATGATGATGATGATTGTGTTGTTGTTATTTTATCATAGCCATATCATTGGACTGAGTGTGGGATAGCTTCCCAAGGTGATTATGAAGGACAGCAATCATTTGAGTACCAAGTTCTGGTACATTTGTTAAAATCAATCATATTTTTTTTAAAATAGAAAGAACAAAAAAAAAGTGAAACTGAAGGCTCTGTGATTATAATGACCAAGAAACTTGGCCCTGGAATGGACTTGAGAACATGCAACTTACTTCCTTCTTTGCAGAGGTGGGGACTGTGGTGGTGTAATGTTGTATATGCGGCCAAACTGAGTAGATATATTGCTCAATTTCTGCTAACCTGACATTTTTCTCTTTCTTTCTTTTTTCCCTTTTTCATGATGAAAAAATGTGTACTCTCAAGCGCACATTATAACAATGTTTCATATGTTAGGTCTGACATTTACTACTGTATGATTTTGAGTAAGTTACTTAACCTCTCTGAGGTGACCTGAAGGCCTTAGGTTCTTCTATTAAAAAAGAGGGTTAGACTAACTAGATGACTCATTGGGGAGGGGATGATGGATGGATATATTTGGAAATTAAGATAATTTTAAAACAATATATAGTAAGTTTTTTTTAAGAGGAAAAAAATCTTGGGTTTTTTTTTTCATATCTTATGTTGAAAATCTGATCTTGAATTGAGGGAGTGTGGAGCAGGCAGAACAATCACTTTATGAAAGGATTCTTTACCACAGGATTCAGTCTCTGGTTTCCTTAAGTGAGTTGATTTCTCAGCATATTTAAAATGTGATTCAATTTAAAAAAATTTAATTTAGACACATATTTTCAGAAATACCCAAGCATAAAGGGGGACCCCCCCGTTTGCGTTATGTTTCAGAATTTTATTCAGTTTAAGGCTTCTCTCTTTCCTACTCTACCTCTACCTATTTTAAATTTGTTTAATGAGTTCTTATTTAAATTCTTACCAACTTACTGATAGAACCAATACCCCTCAAATTTGACTGATGATAGTTAAACATAATCTCTTCAATGAGAGTAGCCTTCTTAAAAAATGAGACATAAAATTAAATACTCTTCAATTTGACTTGAAGGAGGCCATAGAGAAGAGATTGATTGAGGTAAGCTGTGGTAACAGGCTTCACAGAATTGTCCATGAGGGATAGCTAATCAGAACATGGGTCTCCCTCCACTCTGATCTCCAAATGGTAGTGGGGACAGTAGGATGGATTCTCTGGTATCATTTTGGTACAAAAGAATTTCCCAAACTATTTGGGCCAGAGAACACTTTTGAATATAAAATGCTATGATGGATGCATAAATACTAGTCAGGGAGGCCTCTTGATATAGAAGAGTTATGGATAAAGAATGAGCCTGGGGAAATTTCAGAACAAAATAGAAAAAAATAAAGTCTCTCACTCTGTCTTACTCTCCATATGTGTGTATGTGTATATATACATATACACACATATAGAGAGAGATAGAAATATATATAGATACATATACACACACACAGATATATATATACACACAATGCTTGCACACACACATATGTATATGTATATGTGGAAAACTGCCAAAAAGTATTCATCTTTAATACACATGTAAGATATTGCTCTTTTCTTATATAAACATTTTGGTTTCTGAAAAAGGCTAAAAAAGCATTGGTGTAAAGAAAACTGATAAAAATCAACTTTAGAAAAATGGCCTCTCAATCAAAAGATAGAGGAGAAATAGACTGTTGTTCTGAGGAACAGAAGAGAACTGCCTCAGCTTGAGAGGGAGAAACTCCTCAGAGACCAGAACAGAGCTGAGGAGCTTGGCAGTTCTCCCACTTGATGGAATTACTTATGACTGAAAAAGAGTAACACTTTCTTAGCACCCTGCAAAGGGTGGCTATGTACTAAAAGAGTTTTTCTACTGCTTCAGTGTCCCACGAGTATCAGAGAAATAGCTATGTTTAGCAGTAGAACTGTGAGGACCAGAAAGGAAACAGGTAACACAGAAGTAATTTTGCCCAACAGCTGAGATGTTGCTAACTGTTCTCTAAAGAGACTCAGGAGAGTTGTGAGTTGTTCTATATACATGGGTTTCTTTGCTTATTTTCCTTCCTTCTTGATTTCTGTAAGTGTGGGCCCACTTTTTTTCTACAGGCATTGTGTGTATTGGTAGGATGAGTGTGACCCAGATTTATGGGAAGATATATTTTAATTTCTACTGCTTTTTTTTTCTATTGAGCAGATGTTGTGATTATTCTCATTTTAGTCTTCTATTGAGTATTCTTGGTTTTACCTTATCATTAAGCAAATGTTTCATGTTTAAAGAGTCATTGGTGTCATGGTGACTGATTTTGTGTAAAAGAGAAACACACTGTTGCTAGTTCAGGAGCCTGGAAGCAGAAAGTAGTATGAGTACATCCTCACGCATATCAAAGTTGCCCCTAGAAACCTGAGAAAATAGTAGCTGAATGGTCGTGGCTATGTTGCACCTTCCACCCCACAACCCCAAGCAAAAAAAAAAAAACACCTCAAACTATTAGTGTGAGGGCAAGTTAGGGTGCATGCCAACCCAGAGAGAGAGTAATGGGGTTTGGCTATCATGTTAGATATTTATACCTGTAGATTACACTGCCCATATGGGTCCATAGTCATACCCTTTACACAGATTATACAGGTTAGTATTTAAGGATGGGGAAATACTGATAGAATCAAAATTGTCACTTGAAACCCTTATTCATATCATGTGGGACATCCTGATTCTGGAAAACACAATCTGAGAAACATTGAAATAGGAAATCAAAAACTATTTGAGTACCTACCTAGAGAGGCAAAATAGTCTAGTGGAAAGAAAATTGGACTTGGATTCAGAAGGCCTGGGTCCTGTCACTTCGTATTATGACTTTAGGCAAGTCACTTCAGCCTTCTGAGGCTCAGTTTCCTCATCCATAAAATAGAGATAATAATATGAGCATAATCCACACCACAAGGTTATTGTAAAGACTAAGTGAGATAATAGTGCCACTTTGTAGCTTTGTAGTCAGTGCCACTTTGTGAAAAATAAGATGCCATATAGTCAATAAGCATTTATTGAGTGCCTACTATGTACCAAGCATTGTGCTAAGCTATTATAATGCTATTATTAATAGCAAATGATAATTATTACAAATGAAAATAATTTATTATTAATAATCTGTTACTAAATGCATGGCCCTATGCTAGGCACTTAGAAGGATACAAAAAATAGTATAAGACATGGTCCAAGTGACACATTAGATATTGGTGTTACTTTGTAACCATAAAGTGCCACATAATCAATAAGCATTTATTAAGCACCAGGCATTATACTGAATTGTTATATGTTGTTATTAATAATTATTTTTTATTAAAATAACAATAATAGGCTAATTGGTTTATGGTCCTATGCTAGGCACTTGGAAGGATGCAAAAAAGTAATGACACAGTCCTTCAAAGAACTGATAGTTTAGTTGGAGAAAATGATACTGTTACATCTGTGAAGTCCTAACGTTAAGGGTATGTATTCCCTGATGGCTTTAGAACTAATGCTACCTCTTCCATTCTCTCCTTCAGACAGGTCGAATTGAGCCCAACTATCCCAAAGTTTGTGGTCACCAAGGCAACGTGCTAGACATCAAATGGAATCCCTTCATTGACAACATCATTGCATCTTGCTCAGAGGACACATCAGTAAGTAGGAAGTAAGACTAAGGTGGCTTTCCTCAATGAAGTATATGCTCTGATTCTCCATGCACAGGAAGGAAGGAAGGAAGGAAGGAAGGAAGGAAGGAAGGAAGGAAGGAAGGAAGAAGGAAGGAAGGAAGGGAATGAAAAGGGAAGTGAGGAAAGGGAGAAAGGAGGGAGTAAGCAAAGAACACTTATAACTAGTTCTCTTTCTGCCATTCAGTCTGACCTCCTTGTTCATACCCTGATCTTCCCTGGGAGGTGGTGAGTTGGGGGGATAGGGTAGGATGTGAATTAGGACAAACAAGTATAAAATGATTCACTGATTGTGAACTTTAGGGGTTTCATCTGTTCCAGTTGGTAGCAGGGGGAAACAGAACTAAATATAATTTAGGTGTCTTCTGAAGATGTGAACATGCAATTCATCTAAAGGAAAGGAGAGAGGGGTGTCATCCATGAAGCTCCTTGGGGACAGGGACTGTTTTTACCTAGCACAGTGCCTGGTGTGTTGTTAAGGGGAGCATCCTAAGAAGAACATTGAACTTGGAGCTCCAGTTCTGCTGCCTACTAGGCCCTGATTTCCTCCCTTGTGGACTAGATGCTTTTCCTTGGATGGCATTGTAGGAGCCCATGTGCTATCTTTTTTTCAGTCTGAAGTCTGTTTATTTATTTTTAGTTTTCAACATTCACTTCCACAAGATTTTGAGTTCTAAATTTTCTCCCCATCTCGTCCCTCTCCCCACCCTAAGATGGCATACATTCTGAATACCCTCTCCCCTAATCTGCCCTCCCTTCTATCTCTCCCCTCTTCGCTTATCCCCTTCCTCTTCAATTTTCCTGTAGGGCAGGATAGATTTCCATACCCCATTTCCTGTATACCTTATTTCCCAGTTGCATGAGGAAACTATTTTTTTTAACATTTGTTTTTAAAACTTTGGGTTCCAAATTTTCTCCCTTCCTCCATCCCCACTCACCCTTATTGAGAGGGCAAGCAATGCAATACAGGTTATACATGGGTAGTCATGCAAAATACTTCCATAGTTGTCATGTAAAAAGCTAAATATATTTCCCTTAATCCTATCCCACCCCCCATTTATTCTATTCTCTCTTTTGACCCTGTCCCTCCTTAGAAGTGTTTTCTTCTGATTACCCCCTCCTGTAATCTGCCTTCTCCTCTATCATTCCCCTGCTCTCTTGTCCCCTTCCTCCACTGTTTTCCTGTAGGGTAAGATAGATTTCCATACCCAATTGAGTGTGTATGTTATTCCATTCTTAAGCCAAATCCGATAAGAATAAGATTCACTCATTCCCTCAAACCTTCCCCCATTTCCCCTCTACTGTAAAAGCCTTTTCTTGTCTGTTTTATGTGAGATAATTTACCCCATTCTACCTCTCCCTTTCTCCTTCTGCCAGTATAATCCTCTCTTACCCCTTAATTCTATTCTCCATATATCACCCCTTCATCTTCAATTCACCCTATGCCCTCTATCTATCTATCTATCTATCTATCTATCTATCTATCTATCTATATACATACATATACTTTTTTCCCCCTCCAATTATCCTAATACTGACAAAGGTCTCATGAGTTACAAATATCATCTTTCCATGCAGGAATGTAAACAGTTCAACCTTAACAAGTCTCTTTGATTTCTCTTTCCTGTTTACCTCTTCATGTTTCACTTGAGTCTTGTATTTGAAAGTCAAATTTTCTATTCAGCTCTGGTCTTTTCATCAAGAATGCTTGAAAGTCCTCTGTTTCACTGAATGTCCATTTTTTTCCCCCTGAAGGATTATACTCAGTTTTGCTGAGTAGGTGTTTCTTGGTTGTAATCTTATCTCCTTTGCCCTCTGGAATATTATATTCTTTTTTTTTTGATTGGAATATTATATTCTAAGCCTTCTGGTTCCTTAATGTAGAAGCTGCTAAATCTTGTGTTATCCTGATTGTGTTGCCACAATACTTGAATTGTTTCTTTCTGGCTGCTTGCAATATTTTCTCCTTGACCTGGGAACTCTGGAATTTGGCTACAATATTTGTAGGAGTTTTCCTTTGGGGATCTCTTTCAGGAGGTCATTGGTAGATTCTTTCAATTTCAGTTTTGCCCTCTGGTTCTAGAATATCAGGGCAGTTTTCCTTGATAATTTCTTAAAAGATGATGTCTAGGCTCTTTTTTTTTTTGATCACAGCTTTCAGATAGTCCAATAATTTTCAAATTCTCTCTTCTAGATCTATCTTCCAGGTCAGTTGTTTTTCCAATGAGATATTTTACATTGTTTTCTATTTTTTCATTCTTTTTGTTTTGTTTTTCAATGTTTTCTCATAAAGTCACTAGCTTCCAATTGCTCCATTCTAATTTTTAAGAAAATATTTTCTTCAGTAAGCTTTTGGACTTCCTTTTCCATTTGGCCAATTTTGCTTTTTAAGGTATTTTTCTCTTCATTGGCTTTTTGTACCTTTTTTGCCATTTGTATTAGGATATTTTTTAAAGATGTTACTTTTTCAGCATTTTTTTTGTGTCTCCTTTAGCAAGCTGTTGACTTGTTTTTCCTGATTGTCTTGCATCACTCTCATTTCTCTTCCCAGTTTTTCCTTTACTTCCCTTACTTGCTTCTCAAAATCCTTTTTGAGCTCTTCCATGGCCTGGGACTGATTCATATTTTTCTTGGAGTCTTTGGATGTAGGAGCTTTGACTTTGTTGTCTTCTTCTGGTTGTATGTTTTGATCTTCTTTGTCACCAAAGAAAGACTATATGGTCTGATGTTTTTTGTGAGGCTTGCTCATGATCCCAGCCAATTACTTGAGTTATAAACTCTTTCTTAAGGTAGGGGTCTGCTTCCAGTGTGGAGAATGTACTGTCCTGAGCTTTGGGGGATTTGTGCAGTTGTTTTCAGAAATACTTCTGGGGACCTGTAAATTTTCAGTTCTTCCAAGGTGGTATGATAAGGGGTGAGACGTTTGCTCCTTTCCTGACCTGTGCTTTGGTCTATCAGTGACCACAAGTACTCTTTTCTGCCTTGGAACTGTGAGGAAGATTTCCTCTCTACCACCACTACAAGCTCCACCATGCCAGCGTTCCTCCTCACCCCAGGACCGCCACCCAGAACTGTGACCCAAAACCAAGCATGGGCAAAGCAAGAGAATCCTGCACCAGCAGAGATCCCTGCAATCCCCCTCTGATCAGCCACTCAATTCCTCCTCAGTCTGTGGGCCAGAAGCTCAGAAAGCAGCCACTGCCCCTGGGCTGTGGGCAGGGACTGGGGCTAGGACCAAGCTTCTCCTCACTGCAGTCACAGACTTTCCCTACTGACCTTATAAGTTGTCTTTGGCATTCATGGGTTCATAAGTCAGGAAACCACCACAGCTGCCCATGATTTAGTCCTGTAAGGACTGCTTCAGGTTTGCTGAGGCACCCTGTTTTGCCTGTGCACCCACGCTGAACTGCGTTCCTCTCCCCGCCCAGCACAACATACCTTCCCAATCAACCATCAAGGTTTTCTTGGGCTGGAAATTTGTTTCACTCTGTCTTTTTGTAGGTTCTGCTGCTTTAGAATTTGTTTAGAACTATTTTTTTTAAGTATTTGGAGGGGGTTAGGGGAGAGCTCAAGCAAGTCATGGCTTTTTGGCTCCACCCCCCATGTGCTATCTTGATCCAACCCAGGTCCGGGCTGTGTTAAAATACCCATCTAGAGCACTCACACTTTTCAAAGCTTTGGACGCATAAGGACAAAATGGGCCTCCTACTCTAACTCTACATCTCTCAGGTAAAATTAGCTCCTTAGTAAGTTCACAAATATTTTGTCCAGTCCCAACCAGGGCATAGTCTTAGTAATTTGCATTTATTTTGTGACTTAAGATTAACAAAGTATTTTCCTTAAAATGACACAGTAAAAATTTCATATCTAAATACCCATGGAAATTTGGTTGTATGATTTATGTGACACCCAACATACACCTTCTCATATTGTATTCTTGTGTCTTGTCTCCTAGTATAGGGGCAGGGAACCTGTGGCCTCGAGGCCACATGTGGCCTTCTAGGTCCTCAAGTGCGGCCCTTTGACTGAATCCAAACTTCACAGAATAAATCCCCTTAATAAAAGGATTTGTTCTGTAAAACATGGTCTTAGTTAAAAGGCCACACCCAAGGACCTAGAAGGCCACATGTGGCCTCAAGGTCACAGGTTCCCTGTCCCTGGTCTAGTACTTTCTAAATGGCAAGGGTCATGTTCTATTTATCTTAGTTTTCTCCACAGTACCTGACATATAGCTTTTGATCTGTAAATGTGAGTTCATTGAAAGAAAGAATAAATGAATGATTGGGTCTTGAAAGATGGGATAGGATTTTTAGTATGTAGAAATAGGGGTGAGGGTTGGGGATGGAGGATCAGACAGTATCCCATGAAGAATCTACATGAGGAAAGACCAGGAACTCCCTAAGGGTAAAGACTGTGGCTGTATGACTATGAATAAATCACTTAACCTCTCCAAGCTTCAGTTTCTTCATCTGTAAAATGGGGATGGTATTGTGATAAAAGTGCTTTATAAACATTAAGTCACTAAATAAATGTGAGCCATTATCATTATTCTTTAGCATCTATCTCGAGGATTAATCCTGTACCAAAACTATGGCCAGTTGGCCCTGGGTAAATAGTTATAGACTGACTAAAAGGCTTCTCTTCCTTCACCTGAGAGCTTTAGGGCAAGACTGGATGAATGAATGAATGAATGAACAAATGAATCCTTTGCAAGGTATGAATGAAGGCATATACAACAAAAATCTGAACACAAAAACAGTAACGAATCAAAGTGATACGGTAGCTAATTTGGGTACCTACCTGATAGGAGGGAGGCAGCGGACTACCATGGAAAGAGTGCTAAATTCAGAGGGAAAGTACCTGAATTTGATTCTCAGTTCTGCTATTTATGACCTACTAGACTTTGACTAAGTCTATGTAGGCCTCAGTTTCTTCAACTATAAAATGAAGGGGGTTAGACTGCTTTGATT